TTTAAAAAATAAGTTCGTTAAAAATTATCTGCATGCTTAAAACAAAGTGCTAAATAAATTAAAAAAAAAAAAAACACTTTTAAAGCAACACTATTTTTTATCATTATTATTTCACATAAATAATAAAGTTATAATGTTCAAAATGTTAAAATAATGGTTAAATGTTGAATTATAAAACTTACCGATATTGTGTATACATTTGAAAACGAATTTTCAATTTGGAGAAATATACAAAAATAAGTAGAAATTATTATTGATACTAAATGTAGAAAAAAATTATTCAAAGGCTTTCTGACATTTCATTTCGCTTATTTTTTTTTTCTTTTGTAGGTGGTTTTGTGTAAAACTTGATAGCCACTTTTCCCCTTGTACTTTACATTTTGATCTTCGGAACATGATCATGAAGAGAACGAAAAAATAATCAAACTAAAGACTTATTAGTATTTCCAATATTCTATTTTTATAATTTTTTTTTTATCTGTTTTAATTTTAAACAACCAAATTTAAAAACTAACTAAGAAAAAAAAACTAATCATAAAGCAGGCCGTCTAAATTTTTTCTTTATTCTTTAAACGGTTTAAAAAGTTTAGAGATAAAAATTTTTTTAACAAATAATGGGAAAACAGAATACCCAAAAAATAAATATAATACCTAAAAAAGAAAGTAGAATTCACAAAAAATAAATGTAATAATTAATACATTTTTAAAAAAGATTCTAAAGGAGGAGAGCATCTGCTTCTGATTGCTAATAACAACCAGAACTTGACCTAACCGCACTGATCAGTCCTTAATTACAGTACGAACTAAAAGTAACTGAGATCCTTGGCTGAGATCACTCGACTAGTTCAGTGTTATAAATCAACTGGAATGTAGATGGCAATCTCATAGCTTTGTCTGTGGTTGTAGCTTACATAGATTGATATTTTTCAAAGGCTTAGAGGTTTGAAGTTGCCATTAAAATACCTTTAAAAATCTGAATAACCCAGCCTTGAAAACCTGTTGGTATTTTGCAGTATTTTGCATCTTTATTGTGTTGTATATAAAAAGAATTCCGCTTCTTTTATCAAGTTATTTATCATTATTGATGAAAGAAATATATTAATTACTCTCTGAATTGAATTTCAGTGCGTAAAAAAAATTCGCTAATGTGATATGTACTTATAGTGAGCTTTCGTTACATTTGTTGTCGCATTTTTCTGATTGAAATTTGCGATCTTTAATTAAATTTTAAACTTGCTAGGAATTAATATGTTGTAGTATAAATTACGAAAATGCGAGCTGATTTAACGAAACGTGTTATTACTTTTTGTACTTTTTTTATTTGTTGTGGCTGTTTAGCTTTAATATCTGCATCACTTGCTACACAAAAATGGATTGTGGCTAAACCTGTGAAAGTTGGGTTACCTCCAAGTATTAGCAATGCAACTGCTGGTGATCATACGAAATTTCGTGGGGATTTACATTTTGGATTGTTTGAAGGTTCCAAAACACTGAATCATGGATTTGGTGACAGAAAAACCCATATATGGGGTATGTAACATATTAATGCCACATAAATTCTCTTTTATAGACAAGTGTCTTGTTGATGCATTCCTTTTTATCTCTATTTATTCCTCCAATTTAAATTTCTCATAGCTGTATGATTGTAAACATTTGTAATGTGGCATGGTTTTATAAGTAGGTATGTGAATGTTACAGCTAAATATATTTTACTAGCTATGCTTAATCCCACTATCAAAATATATTTATTTTCATTAATGGATTCTCGATTATGCGAATACCTTAACTTATAATAATAAGAACTCTCTAATAGCCAGAGTATAATAGCATGTAAATAATAATAGCCTGTGTTATAATTTTCATTCTGATAGATTTTCTCAAGAGTTCAATTTTAGTGGTTCAAACAATTGACCTGACATATACCGTCTGAGGTTCTATTCCATTTTGCTGGTGATATAGTAGCCAATGTAAGGTCACTTACTGGGAAGATCTCCGTTTTGTGATCTGTGGCAAAATAAACGCCAAATCTTGGCAACTTTCGGGCAGCGGCCTACAAGAAACTACAAAAAAAGAAACCCACTCGAAAGCTATAACTTGTAGCCTCCCCCAGGCAAGCATCTACCTGTTTTTTTAAAAAAATTTGCAAGTTTTTTGGCGATTGTCAGATCATGACAGATCAAGATTCAGAAATATTCCTCACTTACTGATTGCAAGTCATTTTAATTTTGTATTCAAATTTTTTTTAAAATAAATTAGATACTGAATTTGCTTGCGTGAGATGGATAGGGGTCTGTCTAGGCCAAATTTACTACCGTTTAACAGTACCTTTACAAATTCAACATCAGGAAAAAAGGTAGTTTCACAAAATACTCTTTCTTAAAATTTTATTTTTGTATTATCGTAAGAAAGGATAAATCCATATTTTTGTTGATTTTTTTGATATAATTTTTAATTTTCACAAATTAGGTCTAAATTTTACACAAAATAGGTACCTCTCAGAAAAACCTAGACAGACCCCTGCAGACATTAAAGCTAGCCAAATAAATAGTAAAGCTAGCCAAATAAATTAAAAAGTAAGATATTACCTGATTGAAGAACTTGATTGGATTAAAAAGTATACAAATAAAAAGCACAGGACATGTTTTTTAGCACTTCAAAAACATGTGCCCATTTTCAAGACTTGTCTGACATGAATGTAAGGAAACAAAAAAAATTTTATATAAAGATAAAGTTGCCTGTAAAAAAAAATAAAGGGGAGAAATGAAGTTGGAAAAACAACAGAAGCTGAAAGAGAAAAAATATGAAAAATGGAACAAGGAAAATTGCTATAGCAGAGAATAAGATTAGGGTAAGATCAGGGTTGGGGTTTTGGATGTCCTAAACTGGTTTTGGACAGGACACGTGGGTTTTACTGTCCTAAACTGGGTAATACTGTCCTAAACTGGGTAATACTGTCCTAAACTGTCTTAAACTATCCAAAACCTTGAATTTTGGAAAAGGGTAAAAATTCTATAGGTGTAACTATTGTACACATAATAATTACATGTATCAATAAATATTTGATATCTTTTATACAATTTACTTCAACTTATTAAAGGAAAATAATATAATATAATAGGAAAAGGTTTATAATTTTTGAAGCTCCACAATTCATTGAACAACAAAAGTGAATACCTAATCCTTTAAATATAAATATGCTTTTAATACTGATAAGTAATGTTTTTGTATAAGGATAAATAATGCGATATTAAAAAATAATTTTTTTAAAAAAATACTAAATTTTTTTAAAAATTAACCTTTTATTTTTCACAATATTTTTTTTAAAAAATGCTATAATTTCTGCATGATAGAAATGACATCTATTTAAAAAAGAATATTTTTTTTTAAATATAAATATATTAGTTTAAATTGGAAATACAAAATAACTGAAAAATGTATTAACAATTTTGAAGGGCATAATATCAGTTTCAGTTACTGACACTGGTGATGTATCACCACTATGCTAAAGGAATTGAACATGAATGAAATAAAAGTATTCTTGAATAGTACTATAGATAAATAAACCTGTTTATGACTAACCAAGCACTTAGTCCCTAATAGCTTAACCTGTATGGCAAGGTCAAACTTCAGTTATGTACTATTGAATGAGAGGACCAATTGAACTTGATTACTGATTAATCTTCCCTTGTTTAATGCTTAAATTGAAGAATGAAACAATATTAATAACATTATACTTTTAAAAACAAACATTCTGTAGTATATTTAATTATCAATATATTATTAGTTCTATGTCTATTTTACCTCTTAAATATTGTTCAGATAAAATTTTGACATAATTTGAGTAAAAGAGTTTTGGACAAAGGGGTTTCGGACAGGACGGTTTAAACCAGGGTTTAAACCGTGGATTAATCCATTATGTCCTAAACCTTGCCAACCCTGGGTAAGATGCATTTCCAAACGTTATGGAGAGGAACTAATGTCGTTAACAAGGAAATCCCCATTCAAATGAATCATGAAAGATTCCAGGGCATCAAGATGAGCTGATGTGACTGGGGTGAAAATAATTTTTGCATTGTTGAGATTGAATCCAATATTCGAACATCGTGAAGCAATTGAAATTGTGAGCTTGCAGATAGTTTTGGATTGTGTGCGAAGATATTTTATTAAAATTAACATAAACCTAATAGTCATTTAGTGGTCAGAAAACTTTATATGGGGGAAACATTAGCTTTACAATGGCATAAGTCATGCAATAGTACGCATCAAAAATTATAAATTGCTATCTGTTACACCCTAAAACTATTAAAAAAAAGTTGCCTATTTTTTCTTAAGTTCAACACCCCATGATGATTGAAGATAAGTATTAATTAAAATTTATGAAAAAAAAGCTTAAATAATGTTAGTTAATAGATTCAACATAGGGTGACCTGGGGTAATTCCTGATCAAAAAATGCAGACATCTATTTTGTGTAAAAACTATTCAAGATAGAATTTTAATATTTACTGGAAGTTTGAGGTTATATGAGATGAGTCCTATCCTACCTTCTTTTGTTTGAAAATCTAATTAGAATTTAAAAGATTTAAAATTTTTAGTGATCAGGAATTACCCCTTCTCTTGGTCATTTCTGGGGTAATTCCTGATCACCAGTTTTTATAATAAAGAGGCTGTTCAAAAATAATTATACAATGGTAATTAACAAATAAGGCATCAAGATCAAACAAATAAACCAAAAAAATATGTTTAAGCAGCTAATAAAACGATTTATTCAAAAGCAAGAATAAAGATTAGCACTTTAAATTTTCCAAAACTCTTTGCATCGTGCCATACATTTTAGGCCAGCAGACAACTCATTCTCATGTTCTGCTGGAATATAAGAAAGAGTTCCCTCGTGGGTTACTTTTGCTGGATTTTTTAACTTCATTAAGTGAAAGTGTAAAGTGAAGTAAGGTATGTCAACAGCTCTGGCATTAGCTCTCACACAGAAATTTTCATTTTCAATCATTAAAAGAAATTCACTTATTTTGCTTTCTAGAAGCTTAGCATCGGTATTAGACTTATAATTTCTCACCATATTTATATTAGGCTAATTTATAAACTTAAAAATTATTATAACAATGTACACATAAAATTAAGATAGAAGCAAGATAAGACAAACCAGAAATGGTGCAAATCAGGACACATTTGTCTTGTATACAGTTAAAAATAAATTTTGTGATTACAGTTAAAATATATTTTATAGTTGTTCCACTTAATAAATATGAACTGTTATTTAAGACAAGATAATTACTTATTTTTTATACTATTTATAAGAAGAAATGACAATGATCAGGAATTACCTCAGTGATCAATAACTACCCCATCAGTAGGGGGCAACATTTGATGTGGTTTCCTATAATCAATTATGATGTTTACAGTAGATGTGAAACAATTAAACAAAAGCTTACACTATTTTTATATCAAAGAAAAAGAAAGTTACTAAAAATATTTATTATTAGGAGAAGGAGGAGGATTTTTGCAGAAATGTGCACATTTTGAAACCTATCTTTGAAGTGGAAAATACGGAAAGCAATTTAAAAGATACTTATTTTGTTAGATTAAAAAAAACTATTATTAAGTAAATGTAGTTATACTTTAGTAAAGTGTACAAGCATTCTTGTTCATGCCTCAAATTTAAAAAATAAATCATTTTTTTAAAAATAAAACTTAGGTGATCACTATTTACCCCAGAAACAGAGTGATCGTGTTTAAAATATTAAAACATCTAAAGATTAAAATATTGAGACTAATGAATGAAGAAACTGAGAAAGTAAGAACTAACAAAATATCATATTAAAAAATTTATTATCTAAAAATAGTCAAATTCTTAATAAAGTCAATTCTAAAATGTTTTATCAATAAACAATTATATTGTCAGTACATGAATGCAATGCAAAGCACAGCACATATGTAGGTTTGAAATTTTAGCATTTAAAAACATTTGTACCAGACGCTTTCAGTTATTCCAATTGAAAAATTTAAAAGCGGAAACTTAACATGTGCAAGGAATAATAAAATTAGTGCAACTTTAAAAATAAAAAAAATGCAGGGATTCAATGCAAACAATTATTTTTTCTTACTATTTTGTAACTTCCAAACATATTTCAAGGTCAGAATTTTGTCGCTCATGTGCATAATTTTAGTGACATTTGTTTAACATTTGGTAACAATTATCTCCTTACTTGCATGAAGCCCAGTAATTTTAGTTGTAGGATTTAGTCATTATTTGGATGTCAGATTTGGAAAATTGGAGCTAGTTTTTCTTTCTAAATTTATAGTATAAGTAAATTTAAGCAAAATGGTCAAAATTAAAAAAGAAGAAATTGTAGATATAATATTTATATTTGAAAATTTGTTAGTTTTAACACAATCTTTAGCTCAAATATTAAAAAAGGAAGAAAAATAACTTTAAAGTTGTTTACCTATTGCTTAATAAATGTTTTTTTTTTCAATTTTATAAAATTTATCAAATTTATTGGTTTAAAAATGAAAATTCAGTGATTTATAGAAAAAAATTTATGGTAAATATTCTCAAGTTAATTTTATAAATTATAATTAACTTATAATTTTATGTATCTGAAAATTTGTAGTAAAAATATTTATTGAAATCTTTTGCATACCATATGAAAATTGTTTTCAGCATTCATATTTAACAGCATTTGGTTATGAAAAGTAGTATGCTGTTTGTAATTAAAAAAACAAAGAGTTATTTGTAATATTATACAATAATAAATAATTAGATTACAATTTTTTAAAAGTTCTTTACATAAAGTAAAATTTACCTTACTTCGTAGATAAAGCAGTGAAAGAAACTATAGTTGTTTTAATCTCCTTGGAAATTCATTAAATTTTTTTTCTCCAATTTTTGTTGTTTTATTTTCACAATGATTTATTAAATTATTTGGAAATAATATCATTATTTAAACTAGATTGCAATTATAAACTATGTAAAATTACAACTTAATGCTTGATATTCCTTTATAAAGAAAAATGTCTTCGATTTTTTCATCTTAGGGTTGGAAAAAAACATATCTTCTGAGACGGTTTTTTATGTCGTGGAATAAAGTTGCCATTCCTGATTTTAGCAATTGTTTTTTTAAAAGGCCTGTTTTATTTTGTCAAATGTATCTCATTTTTGTAGGATCCATTTTAAGTGACCCAAATTTTTCCTACAATTACCCAGCTAACTGCTCATTATGATCAAAACTTTTTTTTTTGTTGATAATCACTAAAATAAAGTCATAAAATCTAAAAACACAAAATCAAATGAAAATGCTTCAATCAGATATTATTATTTTGTGTCAAATTCTGTTTTGTGTAACCTTTAAAATTGTTTGTATTGCAGTTCAACAGGAAATGGGCAAGAATCCTCAACTTTTCATTTTCAGTTTGTGGCTGTTAACTATAATGAGTTTGGCACTTGCTATGCTGTTTGCATTAGTAAGTGCCGTGTTTGCTGTCATCAATACTGTTGTAACTCCTGTTGAAGTCATCACAGGTATAGCTGGTCTATATCTTTGGAATGGTCTTGGAGGTAATAAGATTGATCCTCTGCTTAATTTTCTTGTCCTTTAATTAATAATTAATGTATGTTTCTAATTTAATAATAAAATTATTGATAAACATTGGGAAAACTTTTACTTTCACTCTTTTGCACACTTAGGACCTTTTTTTTTTATAACGGCAGGCCCTGAACTTATTGTTCTTTGTCATGGAAAGTGCCAGAAGTGTTGTGCATTTTGCTTTGCCTGGTGATAACATTTACCCCTGCCACAGATACCTATTCATAGGGTGGGCGGTATTGATACAACAGAGCACAACAGACAAAAACATACACATTTTTGGGATGAGATAACACATTGGATGAGATAACATTTTTTTAGCATTAGTTGCATCAGTATAAAAAGGTAACAGTAACTCATGATCTAAAATTTTTGCACATAAAATTTTCACCACTTTGCATCACTTGGTTTATCACATTGTGTTACAATCACCCCTTGTATGATTTAAACCTGCTATCGCTGAAAAGGCTGGGGACATGCAGCAAAAGAGTGCTAAAGTAGAAGAAATTTCAAATCTTAATAAATTACTTTTTCTTCCTCCTTAAATGGACAAAAAAAAATAAATAAATTTAAACTATGTTCTTTTTAAGAATAAAAATTTTAGTGCATATTACTCTTATCTTTTGGCAATCATCTTAACACATATCTGTCTAGCATTATTTGCACCATGATTGAGCAAATGCCATCATTTTTCAATAAGTAATTAGTTACTGCAATATGCAAATAACGAGTTTTCGTAATTTGGCTACTGGTCAAATAATGTTATATGGACAAATATGTGTTAAAATGGTGCATATATTTGGTAACATATCCAAATATGTTACCATTATATGTTACCATTTTAAATTAAATGGTAACATATATTTGCTGCACTTTGTTTACTCAATATTATGTCAGATTGCAGCACACTGTCATGTATTTTTATTTTCAACTTACATCATTACAACATATAAGCTATTTATTTTTGTAGCATTATTTTCTGCTGCCAGTGTCCTAACTTGGGTTGGTCAGTATTATGCAAGGTTAAAGCAGAATGTCATGACGAAAGAGGAAATCGAACAACAATGGAAATCTGAAGATTTAGCTTGGTTTGGTTTTAGTTTTTGGTTTGCTGTAGTATCCTGTGTTTTGTTCTTTTTAAATATAGTTCTCACGAGTTTAGCAGTCAGGCAGCCGTGGGAGAAAAGAAAACCAAAACTCAACATGAGCAAAAACCCTGAGGGTGTTATTATGTTATACTAATGTTCCTTCTCAATGATGAACAATGAAATTGAATTAATACATTCCAAATGTATACTTAGTATATTGAATGTATTCATTTTATATTAAAATATGCACTAACTATTTACCATATTTTTACTAACCCAATGCCAAATCAAGTATTTTCATGTAATATTTATTTCACTGGTGTTGGGTAAATAAATGACAAAGGTGTTACCAAGCATTTGGGAATTATATTTTATCAATGAAATGACTATTACCTTTTATGAAGGTAGCTTGCTTTTCTATAAACTGTTGTGATTCTATGCATTTAATACAAATTATGTATTTTTTTTACTAAAAAGTTATGCACATTTTTGACATTTATTAAATATTTAAGTAAATGTTACCCAAGTTGTCTAATGCATTTTCCTCCAATTTGGAAAATTCTCTAAACGATAAAACAAAGAAGAGATATAAATTGATTAATTAAAATTAATAATTTTAACCATTAAACTTATGCAAATTTTTTTTAATTTTTTTAACTTCATATTTAAGCTTACAATTTGTATTTATACTTTAAAATTTTTGAAAAGAAAAAAATCCTTTTATTAAAAAATTTTGTTTTCCTCTTTTTTATACTGATTTTGCATTTTATACATTGCATTTTTTAAATTTATTTTTAACCCAAATTTTATATTGATGTTTATAAATTTAAAGGGTCAAAGGGGTTTATAAATAATTGCGGCTGATTGATTTAAATAATCTAATTCTTTTTTTTACTAATCGCCCTCTTTTCAACTTTCTTTCAGTATATTTTCCAATGGCAAAAAAGTTTAAAGATTTTTTTTTTTTTCATTTTTAATCTATCCTTAACTTTCATGTTTTTTTTATGTTAATCATTTTTACTTTTATACTTGTGTATATATTTTAAATTAAATTTATTTTTCTTGTTCTATTGTAGTATTTGTTAGCTGTGGAGCTGTATACTTCCTGTGATAAATTTCTCTGTTGAAAACATTAAATCCGTCCATTTAATCAAATAAGATCTTAGAATTTGAAAGTATTTTATGTGGCTTTACAAATTTTATACATTTATACAATTTTCTTTTTGCTTCATAATATAACGTTGGGAATTATTTATGGAAATTAGTAATATTATGGTGGGTTTATAATTTTTTTTTTAACATAGTATATTTTATAAATAAGATTTTTATCTGCCACCGAATACATCTTTTTAATGTATGTATATGGTATTGGCTAAGAAAATTTCATATAATTTTTTTCCTTCTTCCTATCAAGGCAACTGATTAAAAAAAATGTGGTAGTTGTTGAATTTTTTTCTGTTTTTATTGTGTAAAAAGCTGTGAAATTTTCAATCGTGATAAACCAAACTGAACAATAATGTATAAACTTGGTATTGTATATATCGTATTGTAGCATTACCTATACTACTCCTATGGTTGGAGCAAGTGACATGCTTTGCATCAAAATATACTGTGAGGGTAACTTATTACTTTTCTAATAAACACTGTGGGGCAGAATGGAACATGTTGATTACATTTATTGATAAACAAAGGATAGAAATACTAGTGGATTTTGAATGAGGGCCTTGTGAAATATGAGAGTGACCTCTTTTCCTGTTAAGTCAAAAACAGATATCTGTCCTGGTAACCACTGCTTTAAGTGAAGCATGTTATTAAAAAAAAAGTTTTAACTAAATGTATATTTGAATACAATTGAAATCCTTATTTACGATAGCAGAGATGATTGTGCTCCGTAAAAAATCCAGATTTCTGGATTTTTCTCTAACCACAATTCGGAAGTTTCCAGAAATCCAAGGTCCAGAAAGTTCAAGAAATCATCAATCACATTTATATATAAAAGTTCTTGTATATTTTATTTAAAAATATTAGAATTTATACTTGGCGTTTTTTTCATTTGTAAATATATTTTCTGGTAGAATAATAAATGTGATTTCAGATAAAAGTAAGATTAAGTTATTCATTTAAAATATGCTGCATGGTTCGATCCCCACGGCCGAAGACTCTTGGTATAGTAAATGGTGACTGATTCACGTTAAATCTGTCGAGTCGCAAAGTCGTCCATGTTCCTATAACAAATCAATATCTCTGGGGGTACTGATCCAGGAGTTTCCTTGTCTTCTGGATTGGTTCAAAATGACAAGGCTAAGGAGTCAAACATAAGTAGTCGTAAACCCAAAATTGGGTTGGCTGTTCAACGACGGATGTGAAATAAAATATTGCTGCATATAATTTATTTAGAATTTCATGTTTTGAAAATATCAATGGTTTAAATTTATAAAGACATAAATTTTTTGAAATGAGTCATTAATAATTTTACTCAAGAAATTTTTAGGATTTTTGAGTTGTGCTCACAATCACCCCTGCGATAGAATTTTAACTTTGCAGTGTCACTTGCCCCTGAATTTACTTAAATTTTCTTTTTTTGTTTCCCCGTGAAATTTGATACTTTCTATGTTTTTAAGTTTTCTTCTCTATTTGAAAGAGAAAATATGTATTAGTTTTCAAATTCTCTAGTTAGAGCAATATCAAAAAATTATAAATTAATATAAATCTTTTAAATTGGCATTTTTTCCCCCTAAAATATAAATTTCCAATGTCCTTTTTTTAGATATTGTACAAGAACCAAAAATATGTGTACTTTACGATTAAATGTCTCTTAAGCTAATATCCTGTTTTATGTATGTTTATTTAAAATTAAATTTTAACTTTTGTTGTGTTTATAAGAAATAAATAACACAAACTTATGATTCATAAACTTATGTTTTTTATTCATGAGCAACTTTTTAACATTCTAACAATTTATTTGCTGAACTTTTAATCAAAAGTGCTGCTTATTTTTCATTTAGAATATTCTCTTTTACAGTTTATTCTTTACATTTTTTCATTTTTTGTTTCTGGACCAAGTTTTAAAGTATATCTTTTATACTTTGCCTTTTTTAAAATTATGCTTTTAATTTTTCTAGCATTTTTAAAACAGAGTATTTTAAACATTTGTTTCAATTTTTAAGAAATACTGTGTTTTTAATGGAGGCTATTTCACTTTTTTAATGCATTTTCCTTCTTTATGATTATTTAATTGCTTTTTGTATTCATTTTATTCATCAAGGCTTATTTTTCAACTTAGGCAATTGCATTTTGACTTCGTATTTCTGTGTTATTAACTGTGTGTAAAACAACATTCCAGCATAACTTTTAGTTTGGATTATACCTTATATATTTTCTTCTTTTATATGCATTTGGTTAGAATAAAACCTTTTTCTTTCGTCTTTTCAACCTTTAATATATTTTGGCCAGTATTTGTTTAATTTAAATCTTTAAATATATAATACTGTTTTATTGCTTTAAATAATTACTTTTTTGTGTTAGTATATGCCATTTATCAAAAAGTTATGTGCTGGTTTTATATATTTATTGTCAAAAATCTAAGTTTATTAATTTTCTAGAGTCACTACTTTAAATATGATTATTTGCATAGGTGCGGTCAATCTTTTAATCCTAACTCAGCTCGGGTAGCAATGTGTTTGTTCCATTGAACAGAAATTTGCCTTTTTTATCTTGTTATTCTATGAGCAAATTGTGTTAGCAGGGATATTTTTGTATAAATTTCATCCGAACAGAAAATCCGTGATAAGGTTAATAATTGCTCTAAAAATGATGCAGGACCTCATTATGTTGTATAAAATTATATGTTTAAAATTTAACATTCGTTGATGTTTTAAGTTTTTTGTTTCACAAATTTTCTTGTCCATTTTCTAATGTCTTTTGTTTGTGATCTATTTTTATATGTGATATAAATTAATTACCATTCTTCCTAGTGCATTGGTCAACTTTTTTAATCACCAAACTAAATTGTAATAAAAGAATATATATTATCAATAAATATTTGTTAATTTCTTATCACTTTTTTGGCTATTATCATTTTGCATACATTCACATTTTTTTTTTAACTCAAAGAATATATTAAATTAAGGAAAAAATGTCATGTGACAAATTCAAAAGAAAGAAAATGTAATATTTCTCTACTTGAAGAATTCATAATTAAGATCATATAATCATGCATTGTATTCGGGATGGATGGAATTTTGAAAACTGTATTTTACTTTATTATTTGCTTTGCTTAAGAATCGGGTGTTGCTACTTAAAAATATAGGACCAAGAGATTTGAAAGCTTATTTACTTTATATATTAAACAAAAAAAATTAAAGAATTATATAGAATGCTATTTAAATAATAATGGAAATCTCCCTTAATTACAAATTTAAAAACTAAAAAAAGATATGTAGTGTAAAATTCTGTTATTCTAATCTTTTTTCCATATTTTTTCCTCTCCGATAAAATTGCATGTTTTTTTTTTGTGTGTATAAGTTTTGTTTTTGTACTTTTTATTTATGAGTTGTGTATTAAATGTAATGGAAAACTTTATTACTTTTATGTTTTTTTTTATTGTTTTTAAAAAAATAAGTGTATGATTTATTATTTAAACTTTTTTTTATGTGTTTATTGTTATTTGTAGAGTTGTACAACTGTACTTTGTTATTTTTAATGACATTAAATGTGTTATATTTGTTTATGGATGTATTCATCTAATAGTACTTATAATTTAGAAAAATACAATTTGTTTCTTTAAAGTTTAAATATGAAATACTGTAAAAGTACTATGTTCTAACTAGTAAATGATTTAACTTTGAATCAAATGCAGGCATTCATAAATGTTACAGATTATGTTTTTCACATTTTGATATTAATTTATATATAATGTAATGTTATTTAACATGGTTTATATTAGATATGCATGAATGAAATTATGTAATCTAAAATTCCATTATATATGTTTTCTATTTACTTGTTATATACTGTTAGAACTTTGGCCTAATTTAACTATTGTCGTTAAATTGTTTTCTTTAAAATATTTAAATATTTTATTTGAAAGAAAAGTAGGTTTTGATAAAATATTCAATAAAATTTTGGAAATTAAAATTTTAATTAATTGAAATTTCGAGAATAACATTTATTAAAATCTGTTAAATTGAATTTATATCCAAATTAAGTTTTTAATTTTTTTTTATTTAATTTCTTTCTGTAGTGATATGCTGTAAAAAAATATATATGATATTAATACAAGTGTGAGTGTAAAGCTAAGCAAGCACTGTAT